AAGTTGTTTTATGATAGCTTGAGGTGATTTATGGGATTTTTCATGGTCCTCATGCTGATAAGTTTCACCATGCAACGACTGTGAGATTTATGGCTTAAGACCCAAGCACATAATATCTTAGCATTTCTCTGTTTTTCGTTCCTTTGTGTTTTTTCTACGTTGCTTTTTTGATTGTTGCCTTACTAGCTAACCGCTTTCCGCTTCGCTTTCATTAGGTGATCCTTTTTTCGGTTAGGAATCTTTAGTGTTGTATTTTGCATTGATTTCACTGAGGACAAAGGGAACCCTATTACTGATTAACACATTCGATAATCCTTGCAGTATTGCTAGGTTATGAACAAAACTTTCGTCCCATGCGGGTCTCTAACTAGGACCTCTTGAATACAGGGCAGTACGCTACTCAAGTTACTCTACTGGGGCTTCGTTTCACGACACAGTAATATAGTTACTCACTAGAACTGTGGCGAGTTTTCTTTTTTTGGTGAAACGGCGAAGCTCATCATTGTAATGCTACTCAGCACTCTTGTGAACTTCTAGCCAGGCGAACTGCGTCCAAGACAGCAGTTAACAATCAAAAACATTTGATAATATTGATATGTGTTCATTGAGGTTGAACCTACTCCGCCCTGCTCCCTTCTAATTCTCTCCATATTTAGTTTTAAACCTTAAGTGTGAGAGTGTTTAGTTTTAAACCTTAAGTGTGGAGTGTGTGAGTGTCTTTTCGTAAGAATGCCTGAGTTACTGTCAGATTTTCCTAAAAATCCTTCATAGTTCTGAAGCCATGGTTTCTTAGTCCACTGAATTATCCGTTGCTTCCTCTCGTGCTATAGCAACGATTTCAAAGAAACTTGTTGAACTTATTAGTTGTCTCTTTTAGTAAAATTTTCAGACTGTACTATTTCCAGCAATTGCTAGCTCTTACGTAGCTAATAATTGCACATATTGCACGCTTTGGTCTCTAGTGACTTCCGCATATGAATAAATCACCCTTCTATGGTGAGGTAGCACATCCAGTATTGTGACCATGTCGCGAGTAAACAGACTATATTGTGCCATTCACGCCACGTGCGGTAATCCGAAGGGAAGTTACTGGCTGAAGGCCCTTCAGACCCATCAAGTACTCTACCACCCTTCACCCCTAATGATTTGGTATCAGACTCGCCTAGGAGAATTAACCCTGTCTTCTGCTGCATTGATTTACCCACGAAAATCATTTTGGTGACCAATTTACCTCCCAATGCCTCCACGATCTAGATTGGAACTATTATGCCTTGTATGTCTAAAAGGAGTCCGATCAATTCTGATAATTCTCCCCCTCTTATTTTTGATTTTTCAACATGCTTCATTTCCCTTCTTCGTTTGCAATGGCTGACGTTTCAGGGACGCTAGATGAAGAGGAACTGCTCGAGGGTGGAGTGGATTACTCAGAAGAGCTCAGAGGTGATTCGTCATGAACTGTCACATTAAATTTGATTTTGGGCTCAGATTTGGCCAACGGAGGGGGTTGATGTGCTTTCAAGAGCCTCTTGCATTCAAACCATGGCACACGCTTTACTCTTTTATAAAATTGTACTGTACTACTAGTGTACTCATCAAATTATCTTTATGCCTTAACATATTAGTTCACCTCCCTTGGAGATTCTTTCCTCGCAAAAGTTGGGTTTGACGTAGTGTGGCACAAACTCTTGCCCTAAAACGCCTCCTCCTTAAGAAATACAGACTTCTGTACGAATATCTGTAGATCAAGCGGATTTGAATAATTCATACTAGGAAACTAAGCAATGAGAAGGTGCGATTCTTTGAGTAGCTAAAAATGTATAGTGAGATATTTCATAGATCTTGGTCCCTCAGCGACTGAGAGTTAGATAGGTGCGGTTCAGTTCATCCATATGGGGCTCCTTGAATATCTTTGGACATCACTCATTGTAGTAGATTTCCGGTAGGTCTAAGGTTGCTCAGTGAGATTTTGTTTACCAAATAATGCACAAAATAGAAGGGTTATACGCCCGAGGACTGTAGGATGATGCCGAACGCTTTAGAGAGCGGGTATTTTTTTTGCAAAAGAATTGAGAAGACGAAGTATCCGATGGAGATATTGAAGAGCTCCGAGGCGACGACTATGGTTATTCATATTCGTGATGCGGGAATGGAAAAAGACGTCGCAGAGGCGCGAGGTTATAGTTCTCCCCTCACGATCTACTTCTAACTGTGGTGCGCCAGTGTAATTTTGCTTCAACTTCTGTCATATCTTGATCCGCGTTACCAAACAAATTGTCATTATGAACGGGCTTTATTTTGGCCTTAGTGAACTTTAGGGGAGGTATTTAGAGCGTGCTATAACCTAATCCGACAGAAGAGCGTACATTTTTAACCACCAATAATGAAGGAAATTTTAACTCACAAGACCATTTGATCAAGATTCCATTACAAAGCTGACACTAGGCCCGGTGCTTGTATCTCGGCCCCCTTGATTGTTGTCTATATACGCTGCGTGAAGTCCGTGAAATCTGTTTCATGAATTATAAAGCGCATATGCATCTCGTAATAACGCCTTCAAACACTGCCCAACCCTTTTTCTCAGTTTATTTCCTAATTAGTAATCTTGAGGGCCTTTTTGGTCATTCTTTTTTGGCTGTATATTGCGATGGGTGTCGCGTTCGAACTCTGAAATGTACTGGTTGTGAGCTCTATGTACAAAAAAGGATTTTTCTATTACGGCAACATATTATTTTTCTGACCTGAACGCATATAAGCCGAAGTCAGACTTTGCGAACGAATGTGAGCGTTGCATCAGCGAATCGAGCTGTGTACCAGTGGATCGAATATGTTCTAGTGGATCGAGCAATGTGCCAGCGAATCGAGCAAGGAACACACTGTTTCAAAGTGACGGGACTTCCTTTAAACGTTGGGTCCAGCCACTTTCAAACAGTGTTGAGTCGCTGGTACACCGTTCGATCGCTGGTACATCGTTCGATCCGCTGGCACATAGTTCGATCGCTGGTAAACAGCTCGATTCGCTGGTGCAACGCTCGTACTCAGCGAATTCGCAGTCTGACATCGCCTATAAAGTTCAAACATGAAAAGTGCCTAATAGTATGCGTCACCTGTAGTTAAATGCTTCCTCACGCCTCACAACTAATCAGTGGTGGGCTGAGTCAGCCATATAGCTCTCTACGAAGGAGGCAATTGCCACGGGTAAGGCATCACCAAGCTGCTACGAGCTCGTTCTTCGTCATGATGCGGCATGTCTTGGTCATTCTGGGCATAGCTTTCTTCTGAAAAAGGCAAATATCTCTTTTTCCAACGGCTCGTTCAGCGTAACACTTGAGCTGGAAAGTTTGGTTTCTAACATTCGTTCAATGCAGTGCCGCAGTCCTTGTCATCTTATCATCTCAGGTGGTTAACCTTCTCCCAACCTATGGATAACTACTAGCTCTGCTTGAGCTGAGTGACCCACATGTCATCCATACATACAAACTATTGCGGCATTATACAGTCTTATAATGCTCCATAACCTTCTCAGTGCTTTCGAAGCAGGTTGATATAATGGTTAAGATGAACAGCTTCTGAGAATTGGTTTATTTCAAAAAAACTCTTGAATACAGTTCATAGGTTTTTTCATGGCCTTCTTTTTGTCAGGTGGACCACTGCAATAACTTTTGTATTTCTAGTGCGACAGCAGTTCAGAAGTTGGCGCCGTCGCTGACGGTGAAGGTGAATGTGAAACAGTAGACGTAGAGGCTAGTGAAAGCGGAGATTTCTTCCACCTCCCATATGATGAGCTCGACGAAGGCGATGATTCGGACGACAGGGACTATGCGCCGCCAGATCCTTGGAGGAAAGATGTAAGTTCGAATTTTACCTGGTATGCGAATGCTAAGGAATGTGTTGGATTGTTATTTTCGAAGAGGTTCATCGAATGAGTTTCAGGTTCGTGTTGATGCCGGCCGTTACCAAGCAGCGGTTCCTGAAAGTATGAATGACGAGGCGTCCCTGGCGTCTAGTGATAATGATAATGACTTACCGACGTTACCAACTCCAGTACCGGGTGGAGCGTTGTGGATGCCAACAGATAATCTGTCAGAGGTCGACATAGATCGGTTTCTAGGCGACGTTGTTGAGTTGAGAGAAGCACATGGCCAAACTATTTGTGATCGTTTTTCTTTGGTTAGTGGTCTCCTATTACTACTTGAATGGAATTTTTTTGCAGATTTGTAGAAATTCAGTTTTTTTTTGTCAACTAGAAGCAAAACTTCACGATCAACGTCCTCATTTCGCTTTATTAGAGTCCGTTTGTTAATGAGTGCATTTTCAGACAAGAGACGATGAAGACGCGCTCTGTGCATTGTATAGGCACCGTTACGATACTGATAAAGCTAAAGTAAGTATTTTTTTAGAATTTTACATTCTCTTCCTTCTGTACACTGTTCAACTTGATGTGTAAACTATAACTATGACTATAACTTGGTGTGTAACTATAGCGATGGCCAGGATTTGAAGCAAAGTTATGATATTCAGGCAGCGTTTCCGTTTTCTCGAGTAAATCAGCCATTCCGTACGGTACGCCAAGGCGCGTTGGAGTGGGATTTGTCAGAGCGTGATTTGTTTGAGAGAGGTATTGCGATGTACGGCAAGAACTTCTCTGTGATACAAAAAAGGCTGGTGAGTGTAATTG